TTTCCTCTTAAAAAAGCGCAATTGAGAGAATAGATATAAAATCGTTATGTCCTATTACAACACTAGAAAAACGTCCGCAACTTCCATAAAATCATCTACGAATGCTGTGGTTATTTTGGGGGCTTGCGCATTGTTTGGTTTTTTCCAAGGAGATTGCGTAATATCGATAACGATACATTAAACTTGGAATGAACTATCCATGAATCTATTTTCAAACTTCACACAAAAGAAAGTCGTTAGAGATAACAAATGAATATGCTTACATTTTTTTTTTGCCATGACAAACTAGAATGTGTTAATGCATATAGGTAAATAACGTTTGGAACAAAATATTACTAATCACAACGTGTTTAACCTGCCGTCTCGGTCACGGTCACGTTACTTATCTCGAAGTCGCCAATCCCTTTTTAAAAGTGTGTTAGCAAACAAGATTTACATGTGTTAACATATAAAAAGGATACGTGAAAATGTAGAAGCATGCACAACCTTGTTTATCATCGAAATGTGACATTGTCAAACTGCTCCGATCAGTTTACGTATAGAATATATATGTTTAATTATCACAGATGTTTGGTGGTTCAGGTTACATAGGGACATCTAGAACAACACAACACGAAGGGTAAGGTCGATTCGATATGTCTTCATACAATAAACAGGAAACCGCGTGTCAAACCACGATCCCACGCTTCCAACACCCCAACCACTCCTATCATTCATGTTATGAACTACCTAAACCGCAGAAAACTTTATAAGTTATGAAAACAAAATCAAACCAAATTTCGATATAGAATATAGTTAACGTCTTAAATAAGAAAAGTCATAACTCTAAACGTTTACTATAACTTAAACATTTAACATGGCTTCACCGTTTCCTTCGTGAACAGTTATATTTCAAGCCGAAGTATCCATATATAGATACAACATTAACAATAACATAACAAAACGTTTACACTGAGCAAACCATCTATGTTGTTTATCTTAAATTCTTTATCGTGGTATAGCCTCTATTAACTCATATTTCTTCCCGCATCAGAAAACCTTAAACTACTTCTCTTTATCGATCTGTCTTGATTTTATATATTGAGATTTTAAAATTAACATGTCTGAGAGCCAGTGTCTAGGCAAGTCACAAGAGTGACCCTTCTTGACCCCGTCATCTATTGATTTCATTGTCATATGATCTTGTTGCAAAGACGCGACATTGCAATCAGACATGATATTCATAGCAATGCTGATTGACGGTTCCTGCGAGCGTCTGTCGATATCTTGAAGATTTATCTGAAACTGCCTTGGCAGTTACAGCAATTACTAATAAAATTTTAGTGGACGTGAAAAACATCTGTACAGAAATAAATCAGTAATTGATAATGTATATACAACCTTTTCAAAGACCAAACAAAACAGAAATAAAATAGGGTTATCTTTAATGGGCAGATTTTTATCCGATGACAAAATCATCTCGAAATTAAACATCGTGATGAGCAATTACTCATTTGTCTGATCTGTGGTATAAGTTTGTGATTTATTGAATGCCGATTTCGTGTACAGCACAATATTCAGGAATAAAATGCAAATTTTCATGGAAAGTTCCCTAACATGCATCTGTCTGACCTTTTTAAGCAGGACTGAACACTGGTGATATTGGCAAGGCAAATGTCATAGGTTCAGCAGTTGCCTGCTGAAGTCAATGTAGCCAGTTTAACAATAAAACAATACGTTTATGGCGACGTGGTATATAAACACCCTTTATTAAAACACAATGGATGGTTGTCAAAACATTTCACGCGTGCATGTCACCAGATAAAAACACAATATATGTGAAAATGTTTGTAAATATGAGTGTTGATTTCTATGGATAGCCTACATACCAGAGTTGCAGTGTATGAGTTGATATCGAGTCTTAGACTTTCCTATCAACCAGAATTGATACATTCGAAGGGAATTGAACTGACTTCCATTTATCAGTGTAAAATAACTTTTGTTAAAACTCAAGAGTGAAAATCATTCCATTTTGAGAGGCAAACAACTAGTTTTGTATAATCACGATCTTTGATAGTGTACATGCATATTTTCCACCCATTGTTTGGCATAAGAATATACGTGTATTTTTAATATTCGGTGTCCTAGATTATAAGATACAGAAAAAGTGCGTTATTATAGGTCTCAGTTTCAAAATTGCAGATATCTCTAGACAGGAATTTCATACAAATTAGGAGCGTAAACCCTCTTTCTGTTGAGTGAAATAGTCTAAGTGCTTACGTGATAGAATGCCAGCCCGGTGATTTAAGCAAACATCTCGTGCTTATCCATATCGATTAGATTCTATATACCATTATCGGTATGACACATTTTCGTTTGTGCGTCTCGTATACCATTTGTTGAAATTAGTGTACTATGCTGAATGTAAACCAAATGTTTATATAATACTTGACTTCGTCCTGATTAGATAACAGTAGTATTAGAAGGAGAAGCTTAGGGTTTAAGTAGCAATGGAAACTTAGTACAGATAAAACATTTGGAACTTAAGTACCAATGATAGAAAACATAGTATTGGGAAAACATTCGGGATTCAAATAACACTGATAGAAAACATAGTATTGGGAAAACCTTCGGGATTCAAATAACACTGGTAGAAAACATAGTATTGGGAAAACCTTCGGGATTCAAATAACACTGATAGAAAACATAGTATTGGGAAAACCTTCGGGATTCAAATAACACTGATAGAAAACATAGTATTGGGAAAACATTCGGGATTCAAATAACACTGATAGAAAACATAGTATTGGGAAAACCTTCGGGATTCAAATAACACTGATAGAAAACATAGTATTGGGAAAACCTTCGGGATTCAAATAACACTGATAGAAAACATAGTATTGGGAAAACCTTCGGGATTCAAATAACACTGATAGAAAACATAGTATTGGGAAAACCTTCGGGATTCAAATAACACTGATGGAAAACATAGTATTGGGAAAACCTTCGGGATTCAAATAACACTGATAGAAAACATAGTATTGGGAAAACCTTCGGGATTAAAATAACACTGATAGAAAACATAGTATTGGGAAAACCTTCGGGATTCAAATAACACTGATAGAAAACATAGTATTGGGAAAACCTTCGGGATTCAAATAACACTGATGGAAAACATAGTATTGGGAAAACCTTCGGGATTCAAATAACACTGATAGAAAACATAGTATTGGGAAAACCTTCGGGATTCAAATAACACTGATGGAAAACATAGTATTGGGAAAACCTTCGGGATTCAAATAACACTGATGGAAAACATAGTATTGGGAAAACCTTCGGGATTCAAATAACACTGATGGAAAACATAGTATTGGGAAAACCTTCGGGATTCAAATAACACTGATAGAAAACATAGTATTGGGAAAACCTTCGGGATTCAAATAACACTGATAGAAAACATAGTATTGGGAAAACCTTCGGGATTCCAGTAACGATGATGGAAAACTAAATATAGGGAAAATCTTTAGAATTTAAGTAAAACTTATTAGAAGTTTACAATAGGGAAATTTGTATTAGTAACAATGATGGAAAACTTATTATACCAAACCTCGGGCATTTAAATAACACTTCTAGAAAAATCAGGTAAAATGTATGGAAACTGCTCTGGGTTATTTTTGTTTCACGTTCTTTCAACAGCCTCCTAGTTATTTATCAGCCTTCCCGTATTCGTTAGGTGAGTGTGTTGGTAAAATGTTTTTGGAGACTTTGTATGTTCGTGTAAGCTACCTAGTGGTGCTGCAGAATTGAAATCGACATTACAACGCTACCACACTGCGACATACAGTCTAAGGTACCTTGGAGGACACGCCCTCTTGATCTCCTCATTCTTAAAACGGACTAACCAATCGTAACAATTCCATAATGACGTTGAACAAAGCGTAGTGACTACATTTACCTTTTGAAAGACTATAGTAGCTTTCCTCAAGGGAGTAAACTAAAGGTTAAAGGTGAAGCTTTGTCAAGGAAAATGTAGTTGCCTTTTATCATTGTGCAATTGGCCAGCACGTATGACCTACCTGCAGAGGCTTATTCTGTATTCCACTGACTTTTACGAAACCTTTTAAGTAGGGACGAGGTTTAGCATGAAGGCAACACTTGACAGAAAGACATTCTAATCGAAAGCAACACTGATTTATTACATAACTAATAGCATGCGGTCATGTCTATTTTCGTAAGACACGTATGTAATAACACTATTGTGACGTCATAAAAAGGTCACGATTTGATGAAGTCACATGATCTCTTGTTCGAGGACACTGCATCATGTACTGTTGGGTAATTAGGCATTGAAATATGAAGCGTTTAGACGCAATTTATTACTAAGGATAATCACATAAAATAATAAACCGACCATGTGTTCATAATATACCATTATATATAGGATCTTTAAACAGTTTTCAGTTTAAAAATGAGTATTAGAGGTTTTCAATGGCGAGCAAAACATTAAAAGTTTTAGACCTTTTTCATCATCTCTTATATGAGAGAATGAAAAAAATTAGATACTTTTCATCCCTGAATTTTTACAGGTTTAAAGTCAAAATGTGGAGGGCATAATTAAACTGAGGCAGTCATTTTTCAATTCAACACCTACTATGACTATGACTGTGCACTATGACGTCATCAGAAGCCTCATCGATCAATACTCTGCACTAGGTAACATTAGCTATCATTGAAATCCGTCGCATCACATCATGTGTGCAGACGCAATTTTTTTAAAAGCATGCCCAGCTTCATGAAACCTATTTTATCTTATGAATTCTATTTTAATCCAAAAAAAGGCATTTCAAGTCGGGGTACCGTAAGAATATTGTTGAAGAATTATATTTTCGAAGTGTCATCAGTTCTAAATTATACATAACACGAATGCAATAGATAGGCCGCATGTTCTCTTCAACAATATTAACCATAGGTAGTCTACAATCATTAAAACATTATGAGGTAGGTATTTAAAGAAAACTTACCTTGTCCGTATCTCTGTACCCCAATTCGTCAATATTCATTTTCCGCGGTTAGGATCCAGTATCACACTCGTGTAGAAAGTTTTTCTCAATATGAAGAAAATATGCTACTGACTTTTATATACCCAACTGTAACTAGAGACAGCCGAAATGATCCGGAATGAACCAGAAGTCGCTGAGAAATATTAGGCGTGCTTAATGGTAAAAGTCCGAGCACTTAAGTATTATTTTCGCTACTGAGAAATACTCGGTCTTTTTCGGCTTGTCGGAAAGTCCCGAGCGAAAGAGACGAATGATAAACAACCATCAGCAATACGCATAAATTATTAGTAATATCAAGGACAAACCTTTTGTTATGATCAGAGCACACACTGTGAACATACGGAAACAAGATATTTGTCGTGAAGACATAGGGATGTCATAATAATTTTGTATAAACTATTTGTAATATCTTTAACGTTATGCGCCGTGTTCTTATCGACAAACAACATTTGATCTTTCAAAATTAACGATTTCATTGATAAATAGGATTTTCATTTTTTGAACAATTAAGCTCTGGCATAACCTATTTTTCTATCGTTTGTCGATATGTTTTTCGATTCTCACATCTGTAAAATTTCTTCTTTACCGAAAATTAATATTAAGAAATTATTCGTGACGCAATAGTTGTGTGAGAATTAAGATAAAAAAGGACTTATGCTTTTAAGAAAAGAATCTTCTGTTTATTCTTTGTACGATGACTAGTCCAAAGTATTCTGACGTTTTATCGACTTTTCTATATCTGTCTGGGGTCGATGACTATACAGTAACGTGAGAATCCACAGGCTGTTTATCATATGTATAAGAAGTATATGGCATTCATGTATGAATGTATTGCGCGAGACTTTCGGATGTCAGATCTTATATATAGATGACATATATTAGAACCGGAAGTACAAAGGCGCGATTCTGCACCCTATTCATTGCGTAAAAGATACCATACTTTACGTCAAGAAAGCTTATAGGATTTCAAAACCATTCTTTCTCTGGTGAAACACACCAGTATGGAATGTACTAGTTTAGATATTGCATTCGCCAATACACCGTTGCATAGGAACTAAATGCGGTCAAGGTCATGATGATAGATAGCAAAATCAAGTATGGTGAACCATAAGGATCGAGGTTTCAACTTTTTATGTAATATTTTCCCTCTAATTTGTGTTAATTTAGTTCAGTTTCATTCGAAAAAAAAAATCCTATTTTAAGGTGAAAACCGCTTTTCTGTTTTTTTCTCTGCGAACTAAAGAAGCAGTTTGTTTTCCCTCAAAATACCGCAACATAACTACATATGTTAGTTTGGACATTTTAGACTGAAGTTACAGTTTACCCTTCCATTTCTCGAGAAAAATATAACCTGCCTTGAAAATATTTATTATTGAAGATAATAAACTTGTCTCAGACGTTGACTTGCAATGGAATGCAAAACATATTTGTAATCATATCTATATCATGTGTTTCCCATGTGTACTTAAAAGAAATAACCACTGTTTTGTAATCGATATCTAACATTGTTGGTTGTTTGAGTGATAGGCTTATATTTCTGTCGCATAACTCGTCTGTGTCGATCTCACAGGCAATAATTTGGGTCTGTATTGTGCTAATCAAAGTAACAACACAACAAAATATATTGAAATCAGGCTACAATACAGTAACCATGGAAATTTATAAGAAAGACCCAGAGAACTTCGCTAAATGTAAATAAGCAGAAAGCACGTGACTTCGACTATTTTAGAAATATGTCTTTGATAATTAGAAGTCACAAATTCTAATAACCGTAAAAGATTTAAAGAGTAGAAACATTCACTCCGAATTCCGACCCTGTTTGCTTTCCATAATCATGAAACACACACACATATATCCAAGCGTTATAATTTCTCTCGCATTCTGTAAACACATTGAGTATGTTTATGCTACCGTTCTAGACAGACCCGCCTCTAACCTCACCAGCTGCAGACGTCCGATCTTACTTGTCATGAACGATTACCCTATATCACCTCATGTCAAATAAATACTCGGTTATCAGCTGAAACATCCCCCAATTAAAGAGTTTACCAGGCACTTAGCTAGAAATAATTAAGTTAGAATAAAAAACTGAAGTGTAGGTAAGATTTGATCCAGATTCCAGAAAACGGATCAAATGCAGAACACATTAAGAGTGCAATGTGATTTGCTCGTGGCATGTATGTTTATAAATTCAACAAAATCTGACACCAGAAATTAAACTTTCACTTCCAGATTGTGTGCGATAGTAAATGGCGCAGTGACGCGGTGACTCCAGACAGAACCGGCTATCACTTGACATTATGAAAAATCGGCATGTTATCACGTTGAAGTATGTTCTGGAAGGTCAGTAGATATGTTCAAAAACATCGCATTAAGTATTCTACGCATCATCCTGATCTAACTTTAGTCTATTTAGGCTAATATCTTGTTTTGAGGTCAATTTTAATATAAACCTGACTTGAGGGTCTTTCTGACACGAATGACCACTGCATGAAGGAGGAATGGTACTGGACATGCACACGTAGCTATCAAAATCTATTTCACATCAACAGACTGTCCAGGTCGGCAGTACACACTATCAATAGATAATAGTTCATATGTAAAGGGGGACAAATATAATTAAAGTTCAAAGTTCCTTAAAAGGTTTGAATGGATAGTACAATTAAGTCATTGAACTTCATTTCGTCCCTCCAAAACCGGTTTTCTAAAATACCAACATGTCAAAAAGTAAATTAAATTAAAATGGGACAGAATAAATTAACACTCCTGAAAAAGTACATGTGAGCAAGGAGAAGAAGACCAGGTGTTCCGGGAGAGTAAACGCAATGAAGGACATTCGAGAAAGTAGCGAAATTTGCATGCGATTTCTTGTATGTTACGATATAGACATTTGCCTTATTTAATGTTATATTCTATATCATGTCATCCACCGCTTTCCAAAAATAGATTTGTGATTGGTAGTTCGAATTTGATGAAGTGTTTACAAAACTTTCCCATTTATCCTAATACTAGTTTTACAATCTTTATTTGATGATATTTTTAGCCGTTTAATATTGATTTCCGTACTATACTGAATATTACATGAGTACACATAGGTCATATCACATTAATTTAAAACACGTATATATGCAGCAGGTTTATAATATAAAAATTATTATGATATAAATATTATACAATATACTTCAAATAATTTTAGAATGAGTCAACTATGTCTGATATATTTAAATGGTATGTTATTATTATTATATGTATATATATATATATATTTTGACTGATATTTCAAGAGCGCTTATATCTAATTCCCCGTATGCTATTTCATTGGATTACTTTGTTCAAAGCTAAGGAATCCTCATATTCAAATTCTTGATCCTTCCGACCTCCGGCCAGTCAGGTTTTATATACAACATAAACAATATCCATTAATGATACAACATTGAGGGAAGTGATACACGCTTAAATATCAAAGCATTTCATGACTAGATATATTAAATGGACACACTTTAAGGTCTCTGTTAGCTGAGTTTAGTCATCTTAAACAGACAATATCATTCAGAGGCAAATTCTCCTTATAGTAGGTGATGACAACCTCACTGAACAACATGTGAGAGGCCCGCCGCATGCAGGGTAAATTGTCTTGCCCAATGAAAAGACAAAACCACGCAAGCACAGACTGGTCCGATTCTTAGCTTCCAGACATCATGTTTGGTAGGATTCCGTGTAATGTTTGTTTCTCAATAGGATAACATTCTCTGGGGCGGTTTTTATTGACTGCGCAAGTCAGAAATCGATTGCAGTAATATGGACAATGACGTTACGTCAGGAGTTTTGGTCAGATAAACACTGTAACAGATCGACCACTACAAGATTTTAGTTAACTCAGATAAACACTGTAACAGATCGACCACTACAAGATTTTAGTTAACTCAGATAAACACTGTAACAGATCGACCACTACAAGATTTTAGTTAACTCAGATAAACACTGTAACAGATCGACCACTAAAGATTTTAGTTAACTCAGATAAACACTGTAACAGATCGACCACTACAAGATTTTAGTTAACTCAGATAAACACTGTAACAGATCGACCACTAAAGATTTTAGTTAACTCAGATAAACACTGTAACAGATCGACCACTAAAGATTTTAGTTAACTCAGATAAACACTGTAACAGATCGACCACTAAAGATTTTAGTTAACTCAGATAAACACTGTAACAGATCGACCACTACAAGATTTTAGTTAACTCAGATAAACACTGTAACAGATCGACCACTACAAGATTTTAGTTAACTCAGATAAACACTGTAACAGATCGACCACTAAAGATTTTAGTTAACTCAGATAAACACTGTAACAGATCGACCACTACAAGATTTTAGTTAACTCAGATAAACACTGTAACAGATCGACCACTACAAGATTTTTGTTAACTCAGATAAACACTGTAACAGATCGACCACTACAAGATTTTAGTTAACTCAGATAAACACTGTAACCGATCGACCACTACAAGATTTTAGTTAACTCAGATAAACACTGTAGCAGATCGACCACTACAAGATTTTAGTTAACTCAGATAAACACCGTAACAGATCGACCACTACAAGATTTTAGTTAACTCAGATAACCACTGTAACAGATCGACCACTACAAGATTTTAGTTAACTCAGATAAACACTGTAGCAGATCGACCACTACAAGATTTTAGTTAACTCAGATAAACACTGTAACAGATCGACCACTACAAGATTTTAGTTTAACTCAGATAAACACTGTAGCAGATCGACCACTCCAAGATTTTAGTTAACTCAGATAAACACTTTAACAGATCGACCACTACAAGATTTTAGTTAACTCAGATAAACACTGTAACAGATCGACCACTACAAGATTTTAGTTAACTCAGATAAACACTGTAACAGATCGACCACTGCAAGATTTTTGTTAACTCAGATAAACACTGTAACAGATCGACCACTTCAAGATTTTGTGATAAACCACTGACCACTACAAGATTTTTGTTAACTCAGATAAACACTGTAACAGATCGACCACTACAAAATTTTAGTTAACTCAGATAAACACTGTAACAGATCGACCACTACAAGATTTTGTGACCACAACAAGATTTTGTTAACTCAGATAA